GCATTCATAGCTCAGGGCATTCCCAGCTCAACAATTCACAGCTCAAGGCATTCCCAGTTCCTGGTATTCATAATTCAAGACATTCCAGCTCAAGGTATTTACAGCTCAAGGCATTCGCAGCTCAAGGCATTCCCAGCTCAATGTATTCCCAGCTCAAGGTGTTCACAACTCAAGGTGTTCACAGCTAAAGGTATTCACAGCTCAAGGCATTCACAGCTCCTGGTATTCCCATCTCAAGGTGTCTACAGCTGAAGGTATTCACAGCTCCAGTATTCACAGCTCAAGGCATTCCCAGTTCCTGGTATTCACAATTCACAACATTCCCGCTCAAGGCATTACAGCTCAAGGTATTCTCAGCTCCTGGTTTTCCCATTTTAAAGTGTTCAGAGCTCAAGGCATTCCCATTCCCAGTTCAAGCATTCATAGCTGAGGGCATTCCCAGCTCAACAATTCACAGCTCAAGGCATTCCCAGTTCCTGGTATTCATAATTCAAGACATTCCAGCTCAAGGTATTTACAGCTCAAGGCATTCCCAGCTCAATGTATTCCCAGCTCAAGGTATTCCCATCTCAAGGTGTCTACAGCTGAAGGTATTCACAGCTCCATTATTCACAGCTCAAGGCATTCCCAGCTCAAATATTCACAACTCAAGGTATTCACAGCTCAAGTATTCACAGCTCAAGGTATTCACAGCTCTAGGTATTTACAGCTCAAGGCATTTACATCTCAAAGTATTCCAGCTCAAGGTATTTACAGGTCAAGGCATTCCAGCTCAAGGTATTTACAGGTCAAGACATTCCAGCTCAAGGTATTTACAGCTCAAGGCATTCGCAGCTCAATGTATTCCCAGCTCAAGGTGTTCACAGCTCAAGGTATTCACAGCTCCTGGTATTCCCATCTCAAGGTGTCTACAGCTGAAGGTATTCACTTCATGACGTTCTAGCTCAAGGCAGTTACAGCTCAAGGTATTCTCAGCTCCCAGTGTTCCCATTTTAAGGTGTACAGAGCCCAAGGCATTCCCATTCCCAGTTCAAGCATTCATAGCTCAGGGCATTCCCAGCTCAACAATTCACAGCTCAAGGCATTCCCAGTTCCTGGTATTCACAATTCCAGGTATTCCAGCTCTCGTATTCACAGCTGAAGGTATTAACAGCTCAAGGCATTCACAGCTCAAGTTATTTGCAGTTCCTCGTATTCCTAACTTACCTTGTTGTCAGCCCATAATGGTCGCACCACAAGGTATTCCCAACTCATCTTACTCCTGGCTCATGATATTCCTAGTTCAAGGTATTTCCAGCTCATGGCATTTCCATATCCTGGTATTCCCATCTCAAGATGTTCACAGATCAAGGCATTATCAGGTCAAGTACTCACAGCTCCAGTATTCACAGCTCGAGGCATTCCCAGTTACTGGTATTCATAATTCAAGATATTCCAACTCAAGGTATTTACAGCTCAAGGCATTCGCAGCTCAAGGCATTCCCAGCTCAATGTATTCCCAGCTAATGGTGTTCACAGCTCAAGGTATTCACAGCTCTTGGTACTCCCATCTCAAGGTGTCTACAGCTTAAGGTATTCACAGCTCAAGGCATTCCCAGCTCAAATATTCACAACTCAAGGTAGTCACAGCTTAAGGTATTTACAGCTCAAGGTATTTATACCTCCTAGTATTCCCAACTTACCTTATTGTCAGCCCATGATGCTCGCAGCCCAAGATATTCCCAACTCATGGTACTCCTGGCTCATGAAATTCCTACTTCACGGTATTCCCAGATCATGGTATTCCATATCCTGGTATCCTAAACTCAAGGTATTCACAGCTCAAGGTATTCTCAGCTCCTGGCATTCCCATCTCAAGGTGTTCACAGGTGAAGGTATTCACAGCTCAAGGCATTCCAGCTCAAGTATTCACAGCTCAAGATATTTACAGCTCAAGGTATTCCCAGTTCCTGGTATTCCCAACTTACCTTATTGTCAGCCCATGATCTCTCAGCCCAAGGTATTCCCAACTCGTGGTACTCTTGGCTCATGAAATTCTGACTTCACGGTATTCCTAGATCATGGTAATCCATATCCTGATATTCTAAACTCAAGGTATTCACAGCTCAAGGTATTCTCAGTTCCTGGCATTCCCATCTCAAGGTGTTCACAGGTGAAGGTATTCACAGCTCCAGTATTCACAGCTCAAGGCATTGACAGCTCAAGTATTCACAGCCCAAGGTATTTACAGCTCAAGGTATTCCCAACTTACCTTATTGTCAGCCCATGATCCTCTCAGCCCAAGGTATTCCCAACTCATGGTACTCCTGGCTCATGATATTGCAAGTTCAAGGTATTGCCAGCTCATGGTTTTTCCATATCCTGTATACCTGACTCAAGGTATTTACAGCTCAAGATATTCCCAGCTCCTGGTATTCCCAACTTACCTTATTGTCAGCCCATGATGCTCGCAGCCCAAGGTATTCCCAACTCACGGTACTCCTGGCTCATGATATTCCTAGTTCATGATATTTCCAGCTCATGGTACTTCCATATCCTGTATTCCTGACTGAAGGTATTTAACAGCTCAAGGCATTCACAGCTCCTGGTATTCCCATCTCAAGGTGTCTACAGCTGAAGGTATTCACAGCTCCATTATTCACAGCTCAAGGCATTCCCAGCTCAAATATTCACAACTCAAGGTATTCACAGCTCAAGGTATTCCACCTCAAGGTGTTCACAACTCAAGGTATTCACAATTCAAGGTATTAACAGCTCAAGGCATTCACAGCTCAAGTATTCCCAGTTCAAGGCCTTCCCAGTTCCTGGTATTGACAACTGAAGGCACTCTAGCTCAAGGTATTTAAATCTCAAGGTATTCTCAGCTCTTGATATTCCTGTCACAAGGTGCTCACAGCTAAATGTGTTCACAACTCACAGCACTCTCAGCTCAAGTATTCATAGCTCACGGCATTCTCAGCTCAAGCATTCACTGCTCAAGGCATTCCCTGTTCCTGGTATTCACAATTCAAGGCATTCCAGCTGAAGGTATTTACAGCTCAAGGTATTTACAGTTCCTGGTATTCCCAACTTACCTTATTGTCAGCCCATGATGCTCACAGCCCAAAGTATTATCAACTCATGGTACTCCTGGCTCATAATATTCCTAGTTCATGGTGTTGCCAGCTCATGGTATTTCCATACCTTGGTATTACTAACTCAAGGTATTTATAGCTCAAGGTATTCTCAGCTCCTGGTATTCCCATCTCAATGTATTCACAGCTCCAGTATTGACAGCTCATGTATTCCTAGCTCAAGTATTCACAGCTCAAGGCATTCCCAGTTCCTGGTATTCATAATTCAAGACATTCCAACTCAAGGTATTTACAGCTCAAGGCATTCGCAGCTCAAGGCATTCCCAGCTCAATGTATTCCCAGCTCAAGGTGTTCACAGTTCAAGGTGTTCTCAGCTCAAGGTATTCACAGCTCAAGGTATTCACAGCTCTTGGTATTCCCATCTCAAGGTGTCTACAGCTGAAGGTATTCACAGCTCAAGGCATTCCCAGCTCAAATATTCACAACTCAAGGTAGTCACAGCTTAAGGTAATTACAGCTCAAGGTATTTATACCTTCTAGTATTCCCAACTTACCTTATTGTCAGCCCATGATGCTCGCAGCCCAAGGTATTCCCAACTCATGGTACTCCTGGCTCATGAAATTCCTACTTCACGGTATTCCCAGATCATGGTAATCCATATCCTGGTATCCTAAACTCAAGGTATTCACAGCTCAAGGTATTCTCAGCTCCTGGCATTCCCATCTCAAGGTGTTCACAGGTGAAGGTATTCCCAGCTCAAGGCATTCCAGCTCAAGTATTCACAGCTCAATGTATTTACAGCTCACGTATTTACAGTTCCTGCTATTCCCAACTTACCTTATTGTCAACCCATGATCCTCTCAGCCCAAGGTATTCCCAATTTATGGTACTCCTGGCTCATGATATTGCTAGTTCATGGTATTGCCAGCTTATGGTTTTTCCATATCCTGTATTCCTGACTCAAGGCATTTACAGCTCAAGGTATTCTCAGCTCCTGGTATTCCCATCTCAAGGTATTACAGCTCAAGGTGTTTGCTGCTCAAGGCATTGACAGCTCAAGTATTCACAGCTCAAGGCATTCACAGCTCAAGTATTCACAGCTCATTGTATTCTCAGCTCCTTGTCTTCCCATCTCAAGATGTTCATAGCTCAAGGTGTTCACAGCTCAAGTTATTTACAGCTCAAGGTATTTACAGTTCCTGGTATTCCCAACTTACCTTATTGTCAGCCCATGATGCTCGCAGCCCAAGGTATTCCCAACTCACGGTACTCCTTGCTCATGATATTCCTCGTTCATGATATTTCCAGCTCATGGTACTTCCATATCCTGTATTGCTGACTGAAGGTATTTACAGCTCAATGCATTCCCAGCTCAAGGTGTTCACAGCTCAAGGTATTCACAGCTCAAGGTATTCACAGCTCAGGTATTCACAGCTCAAGGTATTCACAGCTGAAGGTATTCACAGCTCAAGTTATTCACAGCTCAGGTAGTCACAGCTCAAGGTATTCACAGCTCTAGGCATTTACAGCTCAAGGCATTTACAGCTCAAGGTGTTCACAGCTGAAGGTATTCACAGCTCAAGTATTCACAGATCAAGGCATTCCCAGTTGCAGGTATTCACAATTCCAGGTATTCCAGCTCTCTTATTCACAGCTGAAGGTATTCACAGCTCAGTGTGTTCATAGATCAAGGTATTTACAGCTCCTGGTATTCCCTACTTACCTTATTGTCAGCCCGTGATGCTCCCAGCCCAAGGTAATGCCAACTCATGGTACTCTTGAGTCATGATATTCCTAGTTCACGGTATTTCCAGCTCATGCTATTCCCATCTCCTGGTATTCACAGCTCCTTCCTGGTATTCCAGCTCAAAATATTTCCATGTCACCCTCTTCTCAGCTCATGGTGTTTCCAGATCATACTCACCTTCACCATGGAATTGGTCTGCATTGTGATGTTGGGGAGGAAACGGTACGAGGAAACTGGATGTCCACCCACATTCTGCAGGAGAATGTGATCTCCAATCTCCATTTCTTTGTCAGTGGACGAGTTAACAAGTCTCACAAATAATCCCTTGATATTCATCTCAGCTATTTTAATATCTCCAAGAGATCTAGAAAACAAAAGGTATAGAAGGTTAGGTGATCTGGATAGAAATGTCTGGGCTCACATTAAAAACGTAATGTGATGCATGCCTGTAATCTCAGCACTTGGGGTACAGAGGCAGGAGAAGGGCAAGTTCAAGTCACCCTAGTGTCTGTGGCACGTTCCAAGCTAGCCAGGGCTACACAGACTGTCTCAAAAGAGAAATTAAAAGCAAAACCTTGAATAATAAATATTAAGCTATGTACTCTCTTGGACATGATCTACAAATCATGTATGTTAAAACCTAATAAACATGCCTAGACCTCAGTTCCGATCTTTATCAGAACCTCACCATTTCACATAAAACAAAGAAAACCTGAAATGTGCTTAGGTGTCAGGGTGTCATGGGAAAATGATATGATTGGGATTTTCTCAGTTTCCCACTATCCAATATAAACCATTGTGACATGAAACAGGCAAATGGCAATCAAGAGGCTGAAGAGATGACTCAGTCGTTGAGTGCCGACTGCTCCTGAAGAGGACTTGGGTTCAGTTCCCAGCACCTCCATTGGTTGGCTCACAACCACCCATAATTCCAGTTCTAGGGGATCTGACACCCTCTTCTGGCTTCTGTGGGCATCAGGCACACATGTGTGTGCATGCAGACACACACAGACACAAAAAATAAAAATGAAATAGATTTTAAAAGATCAGGAAAGTTAAACCACATCATTTCCAGCAAAGTGATGTGAGGATTAATAACCACTGTGAATTTGAAAGAATTCCAATGTGACGCTATTGATGCCTACCAACGGTGGAGTTTTACTTCTAGTTTATGTTGAGAACATAGTCTTGTTCCAGGGTTGGTCATTTACATGTCTGCATTTTTCAGAGTGTCATGTGCCACCCACTAGGAGGTCATGAAACCACTGTGGTGTTAGGAATAGTATCATAAAAATGGAATAGATCTCGACCAATAACAATAATCCATGCTGTTTATGCATCAAGCTCTTGACAAAACACATTTGCGTCCCTCTATCGCTCCTTAGCTCTGTTCCTCTACAATTTCTTACTATAGGTCCAAATTCAAAAAAATTCAGGAAAACTAAAAATGTTTTCATGTCTATGTATGTGTGTATGGTATTTGTGCATGTGTTCTTGCATTCACATGTGTGTGTGTGTACCCATGTGTGAGGTGCAAGGTGTTGATGTGTGCATGCATGTGTGGTGGCCTGGGGTTGACCCTGGCTACCTTCCTCTGTCCCTCTCCACCTTGTATGTTGAGGCAGGGTCTCTTGCTAAACTCAGAGCTTGTAAATTCATCTGGTCCGGCTAGCTGGCTGGCCCTGGGATCTCACTGGTATTACGGGTTGCTGTCGTGTCCAACCAGCTTTTACATGGTTTCTGGGGATTGGAACTCTAGTCCTCATGTTTGCATAGCAAATGCTTTACATATCTGAACCATCTCTCTGGCCTCTAAAATACACATTTTAAAAGCGTAATTTCAGCAAAAATCTGCCCCAAACCAAGATGAGGTGATTTATAATTGTCATTGTCGATTTTCATATTATTCTATGCTTGATTTATTTTATATTACTCTAAACCTGAACTATGTTATGGATTCTAAGCATCACGTAGTCCCTAAAATTCCCCAAATCCCTCTCCTTCACTCCCCAGGTCTCCATCTGTTGCTCCACTCAGGTACTATGATTGCATACAGGGCTCCTCTAATTGTTTGCTCTTTTTTGTGTCCTAGATAAAAACTAATTCTCTGCTTTTGTCATGTTTTCCTCTAAGTGTTTCAAAAATTTGGTTTTCACATCCTTAATTTCTGTACTTTGTCATTTATTTTCTACCATCTATCATTTACCTATCATCTATCTATCTGTCTATCTATCATCTATTTACCTATCATCTATCTATCTGTCTATCTATCATCTATTTATCTACCTATCAATCATCTATCTCTATCATCTGTCTCTCATCTATGTATCATCTAGCTATCATCTATCTATCTATCTATCTATCTATCAATCATCTATCTACCATCTATCTATGATCTAGCTATCATCTATCTCTACCATCTATCAATCTCTATCATCTGTCTATCTATCTATCTCTATCATCTGTCTATCATCTATCTATCATCCACCTCTATCATCTATCTATCTATCATCTATCTCTATCATCTACCTATCAGCTATCAATCTATATCATCTATCATCTATCTATCATCTATCTATGTATCTATCCATCATCTATCTATCTCCATCATCTATCTATCATATATCTATCATATATCTAATCATCTGTCTCTATCATGTATCTATCTCTATCATCTTTCTATCATCTATCAGCTATTTCTATCATCTATCTATCATCTATCTATTTTTATCATCTATCTATCTATCTATCTATCATCTATCTATCTATCTATCTATCTATCTATCTATCTATCTATCTATCATTTATCTTTTTCTACCTCTATCAACCTATCAATAATCTATCATCTGCCATTGCTCTGTCCCACTGTCTATTATTTATCTATCGATCATTTATCTATCTACCTACCTATCTGTCTGTATCCAAAGCACCTCCACTTCTGATGTTGAAGTCCATTATAAGTTGGAAACATAAGCTAAAAACACATCCAGCACACCTCCACCCTACTGAACCTCACACCACCACAGCCACACAGCACCCTGTAGAGCTCACTGTTTGCCTCCACAGTAGCAGGACTGCATGAAGCTGCAGCTTGCACCACCGGGTGCACAGCAAGCCCACTGCTGGCTGGAAAAAGGTCAAAGTTCCAAGTGCACTTTTTGTTAACTGTTTGTTGCACCATTGTAGAGCTGAAAACCTTCTAAGTTGAACTATCCTAAGGTCAAAGTTCCAGCATGGATGGAGAAGGCCTCCAGTGGCCCCACACCTATGAGGCGCTACTGGCAGCCAATAGCTGCTGGAGGAGGGGAAGCCATTTTTCTTTAGGGGATTTGACCACTGGTAGGTTGTCCATGCTCCAGTCACACACACAGCCATTCACATAGGAGCGGCACCCATGCTCCAGTCACACACACACAGCTGTTCACGTAGGAGTGGCACCAAGTGGACTCACTGTGATGTGAAAAAAAAAAACACAGAGGACATGAAATTGGAAGGTGGACACATATGGGGTGTCATGAAGAACTTCACTACTCTGAAGTTCTAACTGAAAACCGGAGGGCGGCCCTCCTTGTCACATCCCAAATGCTATTTTTTATCCTATGACTCTTCCCAAATCTCTAACTGCTCAGCCTCTGAGCTACTAATTTCAAACTGGCTGCTGCTTTGAGCATCTCCAAGCACCAGGCTGTGTCTGTAGGTACCAGCTCCTCTGGGGGACAGTGTGAGAACCAGGGAAGAGCCTGCAGATGCTCTCGCTTTCCGCACCAAGTTCCCTTCAAAATAGTGGTCTGATGTCACACACACCAGAGTGTGGGAGCGGCTGCTTCAGAGATTTGCTCCTGAACTTACAGGACAGTTTCTTCTCTTTTGTGTGTTATTATGGTTCCAACTAAACTGTGGATGTAACGTCTCTTCTTTCAAATCCCTGGGAGTCTACGACATCGTCCTCAGCTCACTGTTACTGAATTCTCTGTAGGATCTTCTCATTTTCTCTATGTATTTTTACGTGTATGTATGTTTACCGGCATGACGTTATGTGTATCATAGGCACGCAGGAGCCCATGGAGGTCAGAAGAGGACATCAGAACTCTAGGGAGTTGGAGTTACAGGCAGTTGTGATCCACCAGGTAGGTGATGGGAACTGAACCTGTGTCCTCTGCAAGAGCAGTCACACTTTTTTGCTTTTCAGATTTTCTTTCTTTTCCCAGAGTAAGACTCTGTCTGACTTTTGTTTTCATACAGATGGAGACTGGTAGAGTGCAAACGTTTGTTATCACCACATGTAAGTGAGTATTTGTAGTTGCTTCTCAAAAATCTTAGAGCACTCAAGGGAACTGTTTATCATCCTAAACTTACATTTTATGCACATATCTATGACAAATTTGCTTGTCTGGAAGGAAATAAGACATTCCTAGTGTCAGGGGACTTTGCTTGCCTGGTGCTTGATATGAGACCAAAGGCTACAGGAAAAACACTTCACACAATCTGTGGAAATCCAGAGGCAGCTATTAACCTGCTGTCACACAGGCTGCAGTAGCTATTGTTCCTCTTCCCAGCAAGCCTTTGCATTATCTGTGCATAAGTGTCTTGAGACTTTTGCTTCTGATCTGTGATTGGCTTAGAGTATGGCTTGATGTGCCAATTATCTTCTCTGTAGCCTTGGCACACACTGGACAGACACCAGGCTATGCACTACAAAAATAAATCACATTCCATTATGTAAGCACTAATTCATGTGGTTGCTGGTTATGAAAGCACTGATCTATGCGGCTGCTGGCTTCTCCTTGACGGTGTCATGCTGTCTGGATGCTTCCAAGGTCCTGTTACAGAGGTTTTCTGTCACTGTCTTTAGGATTTCAGTCTCTCCAACCTGCATGCAGCATTCTCTACATAAGCTGGTGTCTCCATTTGTAATTGGGGTAATGGGGACAGTACAGTCTGGTGAAAGAGGAAAGCAGCATCCAGGACTCAGGTCTTTGAGACTGTGCAAGACTTAGGGAACTTGTTTAGAACATTCATGCCACGGAGAAGAGCCTTCACTCCTAAAAGGTTTAGCGAGCGATCCTGAACGTGGTAGGGAGGTGAATTCTCCCCCCTCTGCCACCAGGTTCCAATTCATTCACAGGAAGAATCAATGGGCTCAGTCTGAATTGTTCTGACTCCAGACCTCACAATGCAGGAACTGCTTGGGAATTGTCTTTGCTAGCTTGAATTGTCAACTTGACACAGTCTGGAATCATCTGAGGGGAAAGCCTCAACTGAGGGATAGCCTCAACCAGACTGCCCTGTGGCTATGTCCGTGGGGGATGGTCTTCATTGTTAACCGATGCCCAGTGTTGCGCACTGTGGGGAGCACTAGCCCCTGGGCAGATGGTCCTGCACTGTAGAAGAAAGCTAGCTAAGCCTAGCAAGCAGCAAGCAGATGGTCCCCCCTGGTTCCAGCTTTCAAGGCCTTGTGAGAGTTCCTGCCCTGACTTCCCTCAGTCATGGACTACACGTATAGGCATAATAAATCCTTTCATCCTGAGTTGCTTTTGGTCAGGTTTTATCACAACAGAAAACAAACTAGGAGTAGAGATGGAGGATGGATGGGAAGGTGGCCTTCTTAATACTGCCTGCCCACTCCTGAGGCATCAAGAAGCCCAGGTAGGGCTTGGATACGGGGGTGTGCTCAGCAGGACTTGGATATAGGGGGTGGGCTCAGCAGGGCTTGGATATTGGAGTGTGCTCAGTAGGACTTGGATACGGGGGTGTGCTCAGCAGGACTTGGATATAGGGGGTGGGCTCAGCAGGGCTTGGATATTGGAGTGTGCTCAGTAGGGCTTGGATATGGGGGTGTGCTCAGTAGGGCTTGGATATAGTGGGTGTGCTCAGTAGGGCTTGGATATGGGGGTGTGCTAAGTAGGGCTTGGATATGGGGGTGTGCTCAGTAGGGCTTGGCTATGAGGTTGTGCTCAGTAGGGCTTGGATATGGGAATGTGCTAAGTAGGGCTTGGATATGGGGGTGTGCTCAGTAGGGCTTGGATATAGTGGGGGTGCTCAGTAGGGCTTGGATATGGGGGTGTGCTCAGTAGGGCTTGGCTATGAGGTTGTGCTCAGTAGGCCTTGGATATGGGGCTGTGCTCAGTAGGACTTGGATATGGGAGTGTGCTCAGTAGGGCTTGGCTATGGGGCTGTGCTCGGTAGGGCTTGGCTATGGGGTTGTGCTCAGTAGGGCTTGTATATAGGGGGTGGGCTCAGTAGGGCTTGGATATGGGGCTGTGCTCAGTAGGACTTGGATATGGGGCTGTGCTCAGTAGGACTTGGATATGGGAGTGTGCTCAGTAGGGCTTGGATATGGGGGGTGTGCTCAGTAGGACTTAGATATAGGGTTATACTTAGTAGGGCTTGGATATAGAGGGTGTGCACAGTAGGGCTTGGATATAGAGGGTATGCTTACAAATGTAACTACTGGGAATTCTAAAGGAGTCTCTAATTCATGCCCTGTTTGCTCACAAACCCATTTTCTTTTGCAGGCAGATATTAACCCTAGAGATGGCGAATGGTGACAGAAGAGGACCAACAGCTTCGATTGAAAACATCCAAACTTCATACCCACTTCTCTTTTCACTGACGATAGGACAGAAATGGATTTATCCTCCCACGTGAAACAGCTAAACACCCAGAAAAAAAAATATATGACACAATGTTTATGGAGATATTGGGACACTGACTGATTAGAAATGGTAAAGCCCAAGAGACAGGAAACCAATGTAATAAGCTTATAAGTCTCCCTCATCCCTCAAGAGACAGGAAACCATGCAGAATGTGGTGGGTTCTTTGACCAGGTTAGAACCTGGGGCGGTCAAGGTGGCTGGAGGTCACAGGTCAAGGAACAGGCAGAAGATGGCATCCCACACAGAGAGAGCTCTGGGAGTTTCAAATGGTCTCCTATGAGTTCTCACCTAAGGACTAAGCAGAACTGTATTTGAATAAATTCCCTAAGACCTCAGGAAAAGACTTGAAAGGATTAGCAGGAAGAGGGTTCCCACAGGGGCAGGAACAGTGTCAGTTCCCAGAAGCTGGGGGAAAACCCTCCTAAGTCCTAGGCCACTGCACAGTCCTCAGCAGAGTCTTAGGTCAGTAGTGGGCAATATTTAGTCCTAGACTACAAATTGTTCCCACCTAACAAACCTTAGAAGGAGGCTCAGACTACTTCCAAAGAATTCAAGTATATCCCAGGAGAAATCTTACAAATTTTACAGGAATATAAAAAAAAATTAAAGCTCTGAAACACGGTAAAATTTATTCGCCATTTTTGGCATCTAATTAAACAATTCCTAGGCACACCCAGAATACAGAAACTATAATATGCAATAAGAAGAAAAATTAAAAAGAACTGACCTGGTATTGACGCAAATAGGAGAAGAAGAAAAGGAAAAATTGGAATGACATTTGTCTGTTGACAAGAGTTAAAGGAAGATTAAACCGGTATGTGGACGCTGAAAGGAACACTACAGGGACAGGATTAACAATCACTGGGGCTGAAACCAGAGACTGAAAACACAGTAAACACACTATACAAAGAGAAACAAACAAAGAAAAAAATACTTAAAGAAGTAAAATAGGAGCGTTAGAGAATTGTGGCACAACTTCAGGTGGCCCTGATACCTGTGTAACCAGAGCCCCTTGAAAGAGAGATTTTTGAACATAGCATGATCAAAAAGCTTTCAAATTTTAAACTTCGGATCCATACTTAATCACCATGAGCATAGGAAATATGAAGTTACATTAAGGTACACCCTGACCAAATTTCCCCTGAGCAGTCACACGTCTGGCAGATAAGCAAAGTGCTTGATGTAAACCCCTTACATCCGGTGGCCCTGATACCTGTGTAACCAGAGCCCCTTGAAAGAGAGATTTTGAACATAGCATGATCAAAAAGTTTTCAAATTTTAAACTTCGGATCCATATTTAATCACCATGATCATAGGAAATCTGAAGTTACATTAAGGTACACCCTGACCAAATTTCCCCCGAGCAGTCACAGGTCTGGCAGATACTCTATCAGTAAAGTGCTTGACGCAAACCTGAGGATCCGAATTTGACCCCTTACAAGCCATGTAAAAAATCCAGGTGTGGCCAGGCGTGGTGGCACATGCCTTTAATCCCAGCACTCAGGAGGCAGAGGCAGGCGGATCTCTTTGAGTTCAAGGCCAGCCTGGTCTACATAGTGAGTTCCAGGACAGCTGGGGCTATAGGGAAACCCTGTCTCAAAAAGACACACTTGTGCACACTTGTAATCCAAGAACTAGGAAGGCAGAGACATGCAGATCTCTGTGGCTCACTGGCCACCCAGCTTAGCCTACATGAGCTCCAGGACAATGAGACCCTATCTCAAGAAACAGGGTAGATCTTTCCTGAGGAATGACACCCAAATCTGATCAAATTTGACCTCTGTCCTCCATATACACACATAGGCCTGTGCATCTGTACACACACACACACACACACACACACACACACACACACACTCACACCACAATTGGATTCAGAAGTATTCAAAAGGTTTTATATACTTTTTTCTTAAATCGTCACTTAGTATGGTAGGTACTGACTGTGACAGAGAGGTTTCAGGGAGTTGAGAAAACACTTAGATTTTCTCCCTTATTAAGTGGCCTGAGTGACTGGTTTTAGGAAACATGCCTAGGAGAACTGGACAGTCAACTCTGTCTACCTACTTCCTCCAGCTCTCAAGCACCCTGGGTCAACCTGCGTTTATTAATCAGCCTTTTTTACAGTAAGTGCAGCCGGATTAGGAAAACAGCCAGCTGAGCCAGTTGTCTTTCTGTCCTAACACCAACTTTCTTCTTGATCGATTCTTTTTTGCAGACACTGACAAACGTAAAGATGGATCACCGAGGAAAAATTCATTTTGCTCTTGTCTTTAATTCAAAACGCTCATAGAAGAAAATAAAATAAAACCATCTGGATGATTCCCTAAGAATAAAAGGCCCATGAATAATTGATCTGACAATCTGTATGGAATGTGCAGCTCTGTTTTCTCTGAGTCTTGGGAGAATTTGCATTCCTTACTCAGTTCCCCACCAAGTTGAATCAGTCGCTTCTGTTTGCTCAGAACACGGACAGCTGTATTTTGGGAAAGTTCTTAGATTTCTTGATAAATACATGGATCCAATAACAGTCCAGAGCGCTATTTCCTACTGACCTATGGTTTCACCTCAGCAGAAAATGGTAAACTATTCAAACGGAACGTGTACCTGGATGTAAACTGGCCAACTTCTTCAAGAATCACAGAGAGGTGTCTGCTTTCACCTTCCTGCATGTGGGATTGAGTGCACAGGAAGTTTGTTCGAATCTCCAAACAAAGAAAGGAAATCTTCTCCATCCCCCCAATAATGCCTCCCAGTCAGGGCCCAGGAGCTGCTGTTTCTTTGGAAGCAAGAAGCTTGGGCCTTACAAAGAAATTGGACAAGAAAATGTGACAGACGTAAATAATTAAACATCAAAAGAATCCTTGGCCACTATCTCTGTGCGCTGCGTCGACAGAACCTTACTTCTTTACAGATCTTACTGCCCTGCCAGACTCCACGACAAATGGTAAAGGAAAGTCTATAAGACAGTCAGCAAGTGGTATTTCCAGGGACACACTCACTTCCTACACTCAGCTGTATCATGATGTTTGTACAGACTGTGTTGCTGTTTTTTCTCCAGTGTCTGTAGGAAATGCACATTTCTTGCTGGTGTCTCTACCAGGAGCATATGGATGTTTAACAGACTATTTACTGTACTTTCTTAGAAACATCATCAGTTTGTTAGTGGATACGTATTTGATCCTGTCAAATTTGTGTATTATATTTCCTAACAGACCTTATTTTATTTGAGATTTGTTATACTGCCCAAATTACAATCATTATATTAAAGCCTCAGTTGAGTCCTTTTATACAAATGATTAGTGCATTTTACCAGATAAAGATTTAGACTTCAATGAGCCAGGAGTCTAAATCTTCTGTGATCAGATCCTAGTGTGCTCATAAGAGATTGGCTTTTTTGAAATTCCCACCCCTAAGATTTCAATATAAGACACATCTCATAATATTCTTAGAAAACAATACTGGACGAATCTAAAAATATGTCATCAAAGGTGGAAAACCCCATTAGTGAGACAGCCAGAGAAACATGTCTAGGATTTGGACAGATCTGCAATCAAATCCCAGCTCTACCACTTACCAAGTGACGGACTTCCAGGCGTCAGTTTTCCTGAACATGGTAGTAAGGACTCCTGACTTGTGTAAGGGGTCAGAGGGACTGGAGGCAAATCAGGTGTCTAGTATTTAGCTGCCACTCAGGAAATGATAGCTATCATAGGAGGAGGATTTTCTTTAATGTGACCCTAGGCCCAGAATCATCAAAGGTTAAAGATAATGTGGATTTTGCTCTAGATTCTTGTATCTAATAAAACAACAGTGAGGTGTTCTGGTTTGGTTTCTGTTGCTGTGATAAAACATTGACCCAAAGCAAGTTGGAGAGAACAGGGCCAAATTCATCTTATGCTTTTACCCACATAACATCCATCACCGGGGAGACCAAGGCAGGAGCTCAAGGCAGGACCAAGCACATGTTCAGCGACCTTTTCTATACAACCCAGGCCCATCTGCTCACAGTTGCTACCACCTTACAGTGGGCTGGGCCCTCTCACATCAATTAGCAATCAAGGAAATGCCCCACCGACATGCCCACAGGCCAATCTGATGGGGAAAATTCCTCAGCTGGGGTTCCCTCTTCCTAGGTATGTCAAGTTGACAACCGAGATCAGCCATCACACGATGTGCGGGATGGAAGGGACTAAAATCACACTATTTTGCTTTTGGTGCAGAGGTTGAACCCAGGACCTTGGCCACAGAAAGCAAAAGCTGATGCGCTGTACCAGCAGCTCACAGTTACTAAAGAGGATTCCTCCAAGGATTTCAATACAAGAACTGAACAAGCTCACCCCCAGCCAAGGAGGGGTAACACACAGCACCTTTGCTGGTAGCCGCCCTTAAGGAATGACAGCCTGTGTTCCCAAAGGGGAGGAAGCATCAATCTAGTTCCTAACTTTTTTCAACATTTTATTTCTTATTTTTATTTTATGTATATGAGTGTTGCCTACATGTGTGTAAGTGCACGTGTTGTGCAATGCCTACAGAGGTCCAAAGAAGGTGTTGGATCCCTTGGAACTGCAGGTGTGCATCCACACAAGCAGCATCTGTAGTAACTCAAGAAAACAGTGTCCCAATTCACCTCTCACCTTGCAAAGGAATCACTATGTTTTGGTTTTCCTCCATGATGGACTCTCATCCCTCCCTCCATGATGGACTCTCATCCCTCCCCTCCATGATGGGACTCTCACCCCTCCCCTCCACGATGGACTCTCATCCCTCCCTCCACGATGGACTCTCACCCCTCCCCTCCACGATGGACTTTCCATCCCTCCTTCTATGATGGACTCTCACCCTTCCTTCCATGGACTCTCACCCCTCCCTCCATGATGAACTCTCACCCCTCCTTCCATGATGGACTCTCATCCCTTCCTCCATGATGGATGCAACCCCCCCCCCCATGATGGACTCTCTTCACTCTGGAAGCCCAATAAACTCTTCTATAAGTTGCCTTGGTGATGGTGCTTCATCACAGCAACAGCAAAGCAACTCATTCAAAGGGGATGTTGCATTTGGAAATCTGCATTTCCATACATAATCTGAATTTAAGGCTCCAGATCTAGAAGCTAAGATCCTTTACTATAGTGGAGCTAGTCTAACACACAACACAGAGAAACGGGCATTGCTGGGCAGTCAGGCTAGGCGGCTTTGAAAAGAATCTCCGCTACATACTTTGCTTTCCCGTGCCGGTGTCTGCTGGGGACTGGCTCATTAGGTAGATTTAGAAGTCAGTGGTCCCATGGATGATAAGGTTATCCCACTGTTCTGAGCGCTGGTGATGCGGCAGAAGCTGAGAGGCATTTCTTGGTAAAATGACTGTGACATCGGCGATGTGGTATCTGAATCTGTCCTCTTGGGGAGAAGATGGACCGAAGATGCTTTTCTGTTGGGCTTAGAACACCAGATTTGCCTTCTCTTCTACATGCAAAAAATTTATAATGAGCAAAGTACGAAAGTCAAAATGGCTATGCAAATACTTAAGAAGTGTGAGATGTTACTCAGAATTCTGCTTTCTGAAAGTACCACACAGCTAACAAGAGTTCCACAGCATCCGGAAACTAGTTCCAACAATCTAAACAAAGCAGGTCAGTATTGTTTTATTATTTCTTTCATTTTTAACTTAAAGATAAAAATTCCTACCGTTGATGTTTCTGAAAATTAAAAATGGATAATAATCAGTTTATGTCACCAACCACGAATTTTTGGCATTTCTTTTGAGGCTTTTTAATACTTTTTTTAAACTCAAAGACAAGACCCTTATAATGTCATAATTCACTATAAGATAGACCTTTAACATTTGTTGCTGCTTAACTAATTTTCCAGTCTGAACAAAATTTCAGTGGTTAATAACTGCTTTCTAATAATCCTCTCCCTCGCTCCCCTCCCTCCCTCCCTTCTCTCTCTCTTCTGTCTTCTTCCTCCTTCCCTCCCTCCCTCCTGTCTCCCTTCCCTCCCTCCTTTCTTTCCTCCCTTCCTCCTTCCTCCCTCTCCCTACTCTCCCTCTATCCCTCCCTCCTCTCCCTCCCTTCCCTCCCTCCTCTGTCCTCTTCTTCCCTCCCTCTCTCCCCCTTTCTCTCCCTCCCTTCCCTCTTCTCTCTGTCCTCTCCTTCCCTCCCTCTCTCCCCCCTCTCCCTCCCTCCCTTCCCTCCTCTCTCTGTCCTCTCCTTCCCTCCCTCTCTCCCCCTCCCTCCCTCCCACCCTCCTTCCCCTCTCTCACCTCTCTTTTTCATAGAAGACCAGAAAAGAGGGAAGAATGACAATTTCAGGAACAATTATAAGTGAATTTTTCTAGGAACAAAGACTTTTCCTTTCTTTTTTATAAATACAAAAGCACAAGAGCTGGAGAGATGGTCAGCTGTTAAGAGCACTGGCTGTTCTCACAGAGGACCCTGGTTTGGTTCCCAGCACCCACATGGTGGCTAACAACCATCTGTAACTCCAGGGGATATGACATCCTCTTCTGACCTCCACAGGCATTGCATGCATGTGGTACACTTATATACAAGCACACAAAAGGCTCATACACATAAAATAAAAGTAAATTTAAAGATTGGGTAAAAGCAATTGTTAAGTCTCACACTGTTATTTGAAGTTCCCAAGCTATAAACTACAGTATAATTACTCAACAAGCTAAACAGTATTCTCACGATAAGGCTTATGAGGGCCACACATCAACACTCTTTCCAGCAACCTCAGAGAAATAGGCATGCGTAGGCATGTGTGCGCGCACACGTGTATGTGTATGTGTGTGTGTGTGTGTGTGTGTGTGTGTGTGTGTACAGACAAGTGTGATGTTTAAAATAGAACAAAAGACCTCAGGTTCAAAACCCTTCATTGCTCTGTAAAACTGGACAGATGGCCTGTTCAACCGGCCCCACTCTGGGCCATGTGTCTATACCGTTACCACAAATCGGAAGTTAATGGTTTTGCTTCTGTGGATACCTGTCTTTTGGTCCATTTTCCAGAGCCTTTGCATAAGGCCCCATCTTCACTGCTAACCTGACTGGGTTGAGAGAGTGCTAGGAGATCAGTGTGAGGCACACCTCTGAACGTGTCTGTGAGGGCGCTTCCAGGGATGACGACGTGAAACAGCTCCGTCCTAATGAATGTGGCATCCATTGATGGCTTCAGAAATCTGAACTGACTGTTAGAGGTGGTGGGACTCGGGAGAGCGGGGCCAAGAGGGAGGAAGTGGGTCCCTTGCAGGTGCTCTTGACTTTACATCTTGCTCTAGCCCCCTCCTGGCTCTCCCCTTTGCTTCCTGGCCTCTATGATGTAACGAACTTTGCTCAGCCACGCCCTCCTCTATGCTGTTCCTGCCTTGCCATGGCGTCAAACCGAAGGAGTTAGCAGCCATGGGTTGACAACTTAGAAACCGTGAGCCAGAACAAAGCCTTCTTCCTTTTAAGAAGCTTCTCTCCAGTATTTGACACAGAGACACGAGATCTGACTAGGACACCTTATAAAGCTATTTTAGACAGACTCTAGTTGAGCTTATTTAGGGCTTATGGTTTCCATGGGAACAGGGCCTGGGCTCTGCCATCTTGATGACGTTCCCACGATCAAGTGGAGTTTGTGACCATTCAATCTAGGCGTTCCTTCCTTAGAAACCTTTTGTCTGGAAAGCTCTGTATCCAACACTGGACTTCTCTGAATCTGCCTCTCAGAAGGCAACACCATTCAAAATAAATTTAAGGAACTTCAAATGGCACGGTTGAAATTTACATTTTCATTGGCCTGCTGCCTCCTGAGCTTGACCAGTTGGCTGAAGCTGACAGGCCAAGCATTCTGATTTGTCACAAAGGCTCCAAGCCCCAAAGGCACTCTGCAGAGACACTGAAGGCAGTGGGAAGACTACAGGGGCAGATGTCAAAATATTTCAACTCTGTCCAGCCAGAGGCAGGCTTGGAAGACAAGACTTCCTCCCACGGCCTAGCATAAGCAGGGAGCGTTCCAATGTTCCTCACATCTGGGCCTCATTACACACTGGCTGTATCTTTTCAGCATGCTTTTTTCATAAGCTCCAAAACATTTTTCTTCCATAAACCAACAGCATTTCCAAAAAATAATAATTCCGATGAAGAGTCCCAATAAACCCAAGTGAAGCTGGAGCAGAACCCTGGCTTGGGGACACAGAAGTCTTATTTGTGTTGTCAACAAAGAAATGTCACGTGGATATGCACATCTTGGGGAGATTTTTAACATTCCAGGAGTAGACTTAAGTGTGCAACTGGCCATGTGCATCCTACACTCACCTACCTATGGACCTTGTTGGACGAGGAAAGATTATTCTCAGTGCCTAGCTAGCTTTCCCTCGAGTGCTGGAATTTTCCTGGCCCCTTCTTATTTTTCGGTGTTTGTAATTAATCACAGGAGCTCAGGGTCAGTCTTTCAGGTGACTTGGAAAGACACTGCAGCGATCATGTCTCACCTCTAAAAAAAATCGATCCTATGCTGGAACTGGACAGTAACGCAGGACATCTAAGTTCAAATAATAGCTTCAAATTGTGTATCCTCAAGAGCAAAATCCACTTTTAGGACACTGGAAAACCAAAGCAAATCTTTCATTGATAGAATGGTTTGTATTAGTGCTAGACATAGTGACAATTTTATATGCCATCCTCATAAAAATTTCCAAGACCAAGCTCTAGTAACGCTGCCCCCAGGTTTACTGAGCACTTTGTTGCTGTTCCTTTTGTGGAGACCCTCTCACATGGGAGCGAGGCTGGCACTTTTCCTTCTCAGCCTCCGGAGTGCTGGGCTCACAGGCGTGAGCCTTGTCAGTCAAGTTCTGAAACTGATGGCTTTAGCCCACTAAATGGAAACTCTGGGATCTCCCTAGAGTTCTAACTAGGGGAATTTTTTATATTGCTTAGGGACTGGGATCTCATAAAGCAGAGGTTAGGGAAAGAGCTATATGCTAGGAGTCATTAGATTGACAAAACTTGGGGAATTGTAGTTAGAACTACTTCCTAAGTTTTTTATTTACCATTGAGGAGAGAGAGAGAGAGAGAGAGAGAGAGAGAGAGAGAGAGAGAGAGAGAGAGAGAGAGAGAACCGTGTGTGTGCGTGTGTGTGTGTGCGTGCGTGCGTGTGTGGTGGGGTACATACTTGCCATGGTGCCTGTGTGGTGGTCACACAATAACTTGTGGACTCAGTCTCTCTATCTACTCCCGTGGTCAGGCTTGCAGGACGAGCACCTTTACCTGCTGAGCCATCCTGCCAGCCCCCACCAGAGCTGCATTTAAACCAAGAAGTCTATATTCTGTCACTAAGCCTCTAAACCAGACCCAGCTCACCCAACTCATCCAACCATCCTTACAGCTCAACCTTCTGAGTTTTATTCTCTTGCATGATGCTGATGTCACTTGTCAGAACCTTCAAAGCTTCCTGAACGTCTCGTGTTTCCTTTATCTTGGCTAGGAGAGTGGGGGTCTCTTCTCTTTCCTATGTACAGAAATCATGACATTAAGCAATGAACACAGCTGAAGTTCAAGGCAGACTTTCTTTTTAAAGTGACCTCATATGATAACCCAACTACCCTCAATTTGCCAGATATAAGGATCTCTTTACTACACTGGTAGAAGAAACAGAATTCTGTGTAAATGTAAATGCCGACATCACCAACACTAACGCTTACCTTGGCTTGGGGACTGAGACAAACCACTGAGCACAGCCCACAGGGAAGGCAGTGCCCAGCAAACAGCCTTTATGACAAAAGTTTCACTTCTGGCCAACACTGCCTCTTAGAACACAATGAGGTAATGTCTCCATGGTTACGGAGCTTCAGGTCCACACAGTGGCTGTGTTGGCCTCAGTACCTGGTCTGCAGTTTGCAGATGCAGATAAATTAACTTTCTTTTAGGACAGCCATGTCTCCCAGCAGACAGACCTTGACACGGACATGTTACTGTCCTAGTGTGGAGTTCTGGGGTCTACGTCAGTATATAAATGTTGGAATTTATCACAGCTCTTTTTTCAAACTCTTGTCCCGTCTTCTTCCTCTTCCTCCTTCTCCCCCTACTACTTTTCTTTCTTCCCTCTGACAAAAACTTTGACCACTCAGAAACTGCAGGGCATTGTGAATAGAAAACATGCATTTCTAAGGCACAAAGAGAGCTAGTGGTTGAGATAAAATCATAGCCAGATAACAACCTAAAGTCTTCAAGTTACACCAACAGCACAAGTTAGGAAACCAAACCTAGTTCAACATCTGCTTAGTGCAGGACATACACACGTAATGTTCCATGACAGATGATGATGACACAAAAGATGACACAGAGATAAAATCACACCACGGTATATATTACTAAGGCATATTATTGAGGGGCTGGAGAGATGGCTCAGCGGTTAAGAGCACTGGCTGAGGACCTGGGCTCAGTTCCCAGCACCCACATGGTGGCTATCAACCATCTGTTACTCCAGTTCCAGGGGACCTGACGCCCTCTTCTGACCTCCACAGGCACTGCATGACACAGGTGCACTTCCATAAATGCAGGCAATACACTCATACACATAAAATAAAAATAACTTTAAAATATTTTAAATGACATATTATTAATGGTTACTAGATGAGTAAATCAAATATTTAATTGAGATCTACTATGTGACTACTACTACTCGGTGCTTGGAATTAATCTTTCTTCAGGAATAGTAATATACCTTCTGATCTAGATTTGAATGAACACGGCATCTATCTAGAGGGATGAACAACGTTTAAATTCAAAAGACAAAAACAAACTTCCAATAAGTTTGAAAATGGCAAATATATCACATAGTAAGGTAAATAAGACACAGGGCAGTAAACACATTTGTTTATATTTTTCTCTATCTCAAAGATGAAGCCCAATTCCTTATAAACATTATGGGCTTATTATGCAAAAATCTCATCAGGAGATTTACAGACTGTTTATGTTAAGGAAGAATTTGAAATGGATTTGTCAGGGCTGGAGGGATAGCGCAGCTGTTAAAGGCTAAGGCTAACAACCAAAACGTTAAAATGGATTTGTCATCTCCGGCCCTTATCCTGGTTTCCTACCTTCCCTGGTCTGCATGGTTTCTTAGCTGTTAAGCATTTCTCTACTTCTTGAAGTCAGTAGCATGAAGCCATTATGAGCTCATTTGTCTCATCAGACAATCGGTTCACATTTCCACAGTTCAGTGAGAAAACTCTGCCAACTGAGAAAAAGTTGAAAGCTTTCACTGTGAATATTTCAATGTTCATTTCCCGTGAAGTGTATTTTCCTGTCTTTCCTAAACTACCGCACAGCTGTAATGAAACAATTTCCTTTTCAGTGGCTGCTGGAGAAAATTCAGTGCTTTTTTTTTTAATTTAAAAACCTAAGCTTTATTAAGGTGTACTTTGGATACCATAACACTCACCTGTTTTAGCGGTACACCTTGATAACAGGGCTTTGAAAATAATATTTGTATTTGTCCTTTGACAATTTCATGCATAAAAACAACGTGTCTTTGTCACATTCTACTCTCCCACGCCAGCTCCCTCCCATGGCCCAGACCATCGCCAACACATCCTCATCCCACCTTTTCACCCTATTTCCCTCCTTCCTCTCTCTCTCTCTCTCTCTCTCTCTCTCTCTCTCTCTCTCTCTCATCCAGTTAGTGCTACCTGCGTACACATGGGTGTAGGCCTGGCCACTGGAGCCTGGACAAGCTACCTGTGGCCACATCCCCAAAGAAAAATTACTTTCCCTCCCCCAGAGGCCATCAGCTGCCAAGAGTTCGTCAGCTAGTGGTGGGGCTTCATGAGTTTCTCTCTCGTTCCTGTTGGAAAAATGACTGGCTTCATCTTTTGCAGGTCATATGCAGGTAACTATCATGTCTGTGACTTCATGAAGGTAGTGGCCAGGTCATGTCCAGAAGGCAGTGCTTCATAGCGCTCTTCTCCATCCTCAGGCTCTTCTGTTCTTCCTGCCCCTCTCTGTGATGTTCCCTGAGTCGTAGTGGGGGTTGGTATAGATGTCTCATCGAGGGATGGGCTCTCAACAGTCACTTATTCTCAGCACTGTGACCAGTTCTGAGTCTCTACATTAACCACTGCCCAGTGCAAAAAAGTTTGTCCAAGGTTAAGAGCAGCGCTAACTTATGGGTATATACATAAATATTTAGAAGACAGTTTGATAGTATGTCCACTTAGCAAAATAACAGTAGTAGGTTTCCCTCCTAGGGCTTACAACCTCCCATAGCATGAACTTTTGACTAGGTTTACAGGACCAGGCATACGTTCTCTCCTGTGGAGCAGGCTTAAGCAGAAAGTGGTTGGTTATTCCTGTAACAGTCACACCATACTGCACCAGTGGGTGACTCTTCCCTGGCAGATAAGATTGAATTCTATTTTTTAAAGATTTGTTTTATTTTTATGTATGTGTGTGTATGCATGTGCATGTGCATGTGTGTATGTGGACATGCATGGATGGGGTACTCTTGGGGACAGAAGAGGGTGCTGGATCCTGGAACTGAAGCGACAGGTGGTTGTGAGACACCTAACGTGGGTACTGGAAACTGAATTCAGGGCCTCTGGAAGAGATGCAAGTGTCCTTAACTACTAAGCCATCTCTCCAGCCCAGGTAAGATTTAATTTTTTTTTAAATTTTTACAAAAACTTTGAGAATTTCATACATGCATATAAGGTGTTTTGATCAAATCCATGCCCACTCCCTCCCCTCCAACATCCCCCCCTCTGAAGAGGTAACCCTAAAATCTTTTAAGGATTAGATACAAGTTCCCAAATACTTTTGACATTTTG